TGGAAGGATATGCCACAGACAACCATCTATAAGCATGATTCCAGTCTGCTGCATTCCCTGCGCGTCCTCCAGCGGTGTCGGCGCTGTCCCGCAGCTTTGGAAGTTCCAGCGTTTTGGATGCCACTTTGTTGTCCGCAGCTGCATCACCCACTGCCTCAATGGAGAGCCCCGCAACCGCATCAACTTTCACAAGGACTCATGCTAAAGACTGTCCAAAACATGTGAACGTCAACACTGATGAAGGAATTTGCTTTGACTTCACTGCTCACTTCAAAATCAGAAATCATCGGATATCACAGCAAAGCTGCAGCGTCTTGAAGCAATGGGGCGGCTTGAAGTCCAGTGCTAAGCATCCGACGCTTTGGAATCGGGCTGGTGGCAGCATGCGCCACTGAAACCTTCAAAATGGGTCAGCCTGTGATACTATTAAGTGATGAAAAAATGCTATAGAAAAGCACAGGAAGCCATCTATCTTCACAGAGAGGGAGTATCATCACAACATATCAAGGCATCATTCCAGAATCGTTCAAGCAGAAAACCAACTCTCACTGAGTCTCACTGATATCGGTAGCCGAACACTTCAGGGTGTGAATTCTGACATGTTCCTGCAATTGCCATGGCATACAGCAATTTGCTGATGAGATTCAAATGGTACATGGCACAAAACTACACAAAACATCCTACCTCCGAATCGCCAATGTAAGCGTCTGCCTGTCGAGTTCACGACAACGGGGGGACTTGGAGTTGCAACCCTGGTAGCCTCGAAGTTCAGGTCACCCTCAGTTGTGCATCCATATACAACATGGAACCTCCACATGCACCTTTCTACCGCGCAAAGATGCAGTGCAGCGATGGGTTCTGAAATGTTCTGAAGCTGCCTTATAACGTCGTATGTGCAAGATCCAGCAACATCATCTTTCTGTACTTTTGTTTTACATACAGTAAATCCTTCAGGTGGTTTCAAATTTCATCCTGAAACCAGGCCTTCAGAATGGGAGGTGATGGCACCTGCTGTTGAAGAACACCCGTTGAAGTTGTTTTTGACGTTGATGTGACAATTGATATTGATTTGACAAGTATTTGACAAGTGTATGAAATTATATACTGCTGGAAATCGGCAGAGCACAGGAAATCGGCAGAGCACAGCCGAGGCTTCAATCGCATGGGAGATCTAGGGCATGCACCAACAATCTGACGCAATGAAATGTAGTCCAGACCGTCTGACCTGCAGCTGCACCCCTATGAGCTGGTGAGGGATTTGTCGGAAGATATCAGCCTCATCCGGCCTGCATAATTTCACTGTTCCAGCCATCCACGTCTCTGCCGACCTCCGTGACGAGGGTGTGGCTGCTGGTGGTGATTCGCCTCACAGGGTGTTCCTCACCTTGATCTTGCTACGTTTCAGGTGGATCAGCACACCTGGAAATCCATAATAATGACAGGATGTATATGATTGTATTTGATGTATTATAGATTCTGTAAATCAAATCCTATCAATATACGATGCCTGTGATGACCGGTGTGTACACATAGCACACACCAAGTCTACTTAAGGATACCACATGATCTGGGTGTATCATGGTGCATCTCTGTCTACCGAACCCCGGATCATGGGGTGTATCTGGGTGTATCATTGAAGTCAGCTGCAAATTCAAACCGCACTGTGCTGGCTTGGCTGCCACACCCCACACAGGCACTGCAGGGATTGGCTTCGCCAGAGTCATCTCCACAATGGACGGCCGGCACTGCCCACATCGGCTGCAGAATCAAGCCTCTGCGATGCAACCTGGGCGGTGAAATGAAATATTTGAAATATTTTTTTGCAATATTTTGCAATCAACAGCACTTTTACGTTTGTTTGTTCTAATGTTTTACCTTTTTACATCTGCATCGTGATGTATTTGATGATGTGATATCATGTGGAAATATGTGGAATAGATTGACTATGATTGACTATAGTACATGAGATGCAGGATCTGTTTCCGACACGACACCTGCACCACATTGGCCGCACTCCACAGGCGCTGGGCTCTTCTGGCCTGGCACGGCACGGTGCCTGGATGGTCCCTGGCGAATGAGTGGATCCCCTTTTTTGACGACGGATCTCAATTTCAATCTCAGAAAATATGAAGCATATTATTTTTGGAATATTTTGGACATGTCATGTCCATCTTTGTGAGTAATGATGATGAATGGCATTGTTGATATACTATGATATACTTCTATTCATCTTCTTCCGACTGAATCCGCCGGCGCCAGCCTCCATCTGCTGTTGCATTTGCTTCCGAGTATTGCATGCGCACAATAAACGGCCCGGCACCTTTAGTGCTAATTCTCAACTAGCAGATCTGCGGCGCATGAACCATTACTTGATTTTGGACAGATATGGACAAATTGACTCGTGCAGCCATGACATTGTCGACGTGCGGCCGACTGGCTGCTTAGTAAACGCATGCGCTTGTCTACCTTTTTCCCTTCCTCCCAGCGAGCGCCGCCGGCCCTTTCTGCGCAGAGCAGAAAAGCTACCCTTTTCGCTCTTTCAGCATCTTTCAACTGTTTGCATCTGTTTGCTGTTTCCATCTGTTTCCTGTATTTTTCTGCGAGAAAGGACGGATCAAATTTAAAAGTAAAAAGTTAAACCTTGCTCGGGGTCTGGAAGACACGCCTCCTGGCCTAGACCGTGCTGCAAAATTCGCCGACATGGCTTGTGAATTAAGCTGAGACCCCATAGGCTGTGCTACAGGTTGTCTCCAATTGCAATGAGAGCGATTATCGCTCCACTCAAAATGGGATTGCGGCGCATCACCTACCTTGTCTCTGCTGATCAAACGAATGCTGACATGTTCGGATCGTGTTTGTGCCCAGTTACGCAAACAATGGTTGCACTCTCATATCAGAAGGATTGCCATGAAACCACCCAATGTTTCTTGCGAACGAGAACTCTGAATGAAACATATTTCTTGGCTGCAACCTTTTTCCGAATGTTTCTGAAACTCAACTTGCAAATTCGATCCATTTCTTGATTTTGCTTATTCACCCAAATCTTAAGACTCAGATTCAACCCACGTGCAAGGTAGCCGTGCGGCCGAGGCTAGGCAACAAAGACTAAAAGTCAAGCCATGTACAGGATTGACAGCAGCTTAAAAAGTTTAAGACCCGTGGCTCGGAAAATACTGACCGAGGGTCGAGTCAACTCGGTTACTGCAAAACTTGAGCCTTGTCGGATCTTGAGTTTTCACCCATCATGGTCTGCCAATGCCGTTTTCTTGGCTCTCTGCCTGTAAATCATTGGAGACTGCACTGCGAGTCGGCAGAAAGCATGGCTGAAACGGGAGCCGAGCTGGTCGACAGGTCCGAGTCTTGAGGCGTTTGTGTTGACAGTTCGATCTCTTCGGGTTCTTGTTGAGACTGCTCCAGGAATTTGATGACTTCACACCAAAGGGCTTGCTCCACTCATTGAAACACTCATGTAGTTTTTTCAAACAGGCCTTCTTCAGATATAGATCGCCCATATATGGAAACTAAGAAAAACTAAATAAACCTAATTAAAGCTAACAAAAACTAAATAAAACTACATAAAGCTAATTTATGCTAGAAAAAACTAAGCCACAGTAAGAAGAAATCTGTCAGTGCATCAAACTGTGCATCCACCACATTTCAGTCAGTTCTCGCCTTCACAGGTTGTTTGAGTGTGGAGGCATGCATGCCAACCTACTGATTCAAATGAAATGATCAACTCACAACCTGTCTCTCTGAGACCCTCCCCTCCTCTTCAAACAACTTGACCCAAACCCAGAGCTGCTGTTGAATCTGCTGTTTTTCCACCTTTATTCTGATCAAAGGTGTTGGTGAAAATGGGAGCAGCCCTTCTCAAATCTTTCCCTCACAGCCATCAGCTGAAGTCCACCATCGGTTTTCCATAGTCCTCAGCCCAATCAAAATTTATGGCAAACAAATTGGAAACAACTCAGGAAGATGCAAACAAACAATGTTGTGTGAAAGTGCCATCCCTCACCAGTTCTCAACACTGTGGCCACACTAAGCAAGTGCTGCCAATCAAAGTAGGAGTTTGGTTGTTGCCAAGGTGCTTGCCAAATAAATGGCACCTCCCTCATCCTTTTTCAGCAAAACAACAGCAAACACTTATGGCACCTCCCTCATCCTTTTTCAGCAAAAAAACAGCAAACACTTGAACCCAACCTAACACTGATGCTTTTTGCTTTGGAAATCATAGTGCGCCTGTGACCTAGTGTCAGACACAGCCACAGTTTTGCAATTGCCACAGTGCTGCCCTGCATCAAGCAAAGAATGAATTGGCCACACAAAGGCTGACATCAGTCTCTTACTTGTTCCAAAAAGGAAGTCTAAGCCATGAAGCAAAGCATTTTGTATTTTATCAGGTCAGCCACCAATGTTACAATAACTACTGGGGATGCACCAACCCTGCATGATAGTCGCAATGTGTGGTTTTACTGCAGGAGTTTTTACACATTTTCCAGCACAAGCTAGGCATGTTTCAACATCTCTGCCTTACTTTTTCCAAAAAGGAAGTCCAAGCCATGAAGCAAGGCATTTTCCAGCACAAGCATTTTTTCAACATCTCTGCCTTACTTGCTCCAAAAAGGAAGTCTAAGCCATAATGCAAAGCATTTTCCAGCACAAGCATTTTTTCAACATCTCTTACCTCCTCCAAATAGCAAGTCTTAGCCATACAGCAGAGCATTTTCCAGCACATTGGCCAGCAGCCACCTTTAGTTTTTTCTTTCTCAACACCCTTAAGCATCTTTTACACCCTCCAACAAGGAAGCCCCAGGCAGACAGCAATGCATGTTCAGCCCTTCTTGGGATAGCAAGCCTGCAATCACCCTGGCCCATGCCTATCAATCAGCCTCTTGCCCCCAGCTTGACATCTGCACACATGACTGGCCAGCTGCACACTCATCACCATTTTTTCCAGCTTGCATGCAAGGAGGAAATCCAGCATTGTCAAAGCTTTAAGCCTAAGGCTTAGCCTTGCTCTTGTCCTTCTGCAATGGTGGCAAAGCATCAATGGTGGGTTTCAGCTGTTCCATCACATGCTGAGGCACTTCTCCAGGGGTTTGTGGTTCCTGGCCTGCTGGCAATGGCAACTGTTCCTTCACCATGTGCCACTTTCTCCAATTGTATTCATGCACTCTTTTGAGCGCTTGGTCCCAGGATAGCCTTTGAGCAAATGATACTGTGAAGGTCTGTTGCTTCATCCTTCCAGTGAATTCCTTTGACTCAAAAGCCATTTTGGAGGTGAAGCGGTGGTCAGTGAAGGAGATGCCAATTTGACACCTTGGTGGTGTCATCAGGGACAACACTTCCTCAGGTGATTTCCTTTTTGGCTCTCTTTCCTTCTTCTGCCCAGGTACTGGGGTGGAAGCTTTTTTGGTGGTAGGTGTCTTGGTCAAGGCCTTGCCATACATTACCAAGCTTGCAGGTTCAGCAGGTGCAGGTCCTTTGCTGCCACTGCTGCTTGCAGGCCCTGACCCCTCTGGTGCCAGTGGTGCCTCCACTTCATTTTTTGCAGGAGTGCTGCTCATTGCCTCAACATTGCCTGCTTCCACCACAGCATTCTTGTCAGCCAAAGCCTCTTTGGTGGCATCAACCAATTCATCTGCCCCTGCCCTCTGCTTCCTCCTTTTCAAGACACCATGGATGAAATAGGATGGTGCCTTTCTTTTGTTGGATGCTGCTGCTTTGGCCTTTGCCTTTGCCCTCCTCTTGGGTTTCTTGTCCTCCAGGGGTTCTTTGGAAGACAACTTCCTTTTCAACCTGGTCACCTTCTTCTTCTGCTTGTACTCCTTCAAGTCCTGCTGATTGAACTCATCCTGTGCAAGCTCAGAGATGACCTCACTCAGCTCAGAGTCCAAGTCATCATCATCATCCTTGGTTTTGGTCTTTGCCTTGAATTTTTTGAAAGCTTCTTGCCTCATTGCCTCATCTTGCAGCACTGTCTCCACAAGCATCTTCTCTACAGTTGCTCTGGATGCATTGCCAGCCACTTTCACATTGTACAGCTTGAGCAGTGACCTCATCTGCTTGACAGTCAAAGAGATGGCAGCTTGCACCACTGCCACATCCAATGGCAAGGGGTTGCCAGATGCCACCCAACCCAAAGGTCCCACATTCTCATACATCATAGTGGGCTTGACAGGAACCTGCAGCCAATCACTGAGGTCCACAATGTGCCTCCACTGTATGCAGCTGGGGTTTGCTTCCAGCAGATAAATTCTTTGCCCATCACTGACTTCAATGTGAGCCTGCCAGGCAAGGAAGCCATACTCTGCCCTTGCCATGACTTTCCATAATGTGTGCTGGGATTGTTGCACCAGGAAGTGGCCAGGCTGTGCCAAAATGGAAAGCCAGGCATCATTTGCAGTTGTCCCTGGGTCCACTTCTCTACCTTCTCCAAAAAATTTGAAGACCCACTCAGTGGCAGCCACAGAAGCAAACAAACTAGCTGGATTTGGGCTTGGCCATCGGTTTTTGCCACTTATGGGCACCATGAGGTTCTGGATGGCTTTGGGCAAGTGGTGCTGGGTAGCTTTCAAAGATTTGGCAAGGTGGACTCTTTCATCCTGTGGTGGCAAAGGGCCAGTAGCCTTTTCAAATTTGTGAAAAGTGACCACAGGGCTGCCTCTCCTTTCCAAAGCTTGGCTGTTCAATGTATTGGACCAGATCCTGACATTCCCAAAGGTCTTGTGCCTGGAGCTTCTGAGCAAATCTTTTCCAAATTGGTGTGCATTCTCCACCATCTTGGAATCACCCAATGTTTCAGCCATGACCCTTTGCAAAGCTGGGCCTGCTGCTTGGGGGGTGCCCACCAATCTCTTGCAATCATCTTCCAGGTAGGACAGGTAGAGGGCTCTGCAAACAGGGTTCTTGGTCCAAGCCATCAAAGCCAAAGCTTCAACTTTCAGATTGGGGCTTTCCACATCAGCCTCCTCTGCAGTAAGCAAAGCCTGGAAGTCCTGCATGGCCATATCATGGGCTGCTTGTGCAACCACCCTTTCTCTGGACAGAGAATGGTGGTACCTGTTGGGTGGCAGTGTGTGGAAGGAAGTGAGGCTCATAGACCTGGTTTCCAGGAGTTTGTCAAAGAAGTCCATGTGCCACTCCAAAGCTTGCTCATGCAAGCAGTAGTCCTCCTGCAAGTGCAGCAAGAGCTCCTGGTTCCATAGGCTGTCATGTACCATGGAAACAAGCTCTTCAGCCCAACCCTTGTGACCAGCAGCTTGGATATTGAAGAGGAGCACATCAGCAGCACTGGTCACTTCCCTGGCCCTGGCAGCATGATGCTTCCAGGCAGCTTTGCCCACTGTGAGCACAATGTCTTTGACACACATTGTGGTGTTGGTCACCATTTGAGGGGCAAGCTTCCAAGTCCCTTGTTTTTTCTTCAATTCCCTCAACTCTTGCTGGGGGTCTTCTTCATTTGGAAGTTCTGCTGCTTCTTCTTTTCCTTCAGTTTTTGCTCCCATTTCTTCCAAAATCATTCTTGTAGCAAAATGTTCTCCCTCCCACCAGCATGCTGTCTCGAACCAGCTAAACCAGCGCATGAGCTTCACTAAAGGGCCTTTGGTATTGAAGTTCTGAAGGTGCTTCAATGTTTCAAACAAGGCCTCACAGTCTTGTTCATGCTGAGGTTCCCTGATTCGTCTTTCTCTGGCAATCACAGAAGCATAGTTGGCAAAACAATGAGTCAGAGTTGTTCTGGAGCAGAAATTCTTCCAGGCAACTTCTCTTCTTTGCAAACCAGCCACCTGACCCATAGGGGCCATAGTTTACATTAAAGAGAAGTGAAAGCCTCAGGATGGTCTTCCAAACTCCACCAGCTGCTCTTTTGCCTGCCAGTTTCAGGTCATTCCATGTCCTGTGGTAGCAGTCCCATTGGGAAGTGACCAGCAATGATTCCTCTGAGTACATCAAATAGTTTAAAGCAGGGACATTCACTGGTCCTTGGTCACTTATGGATACAAGCAAAGGTAGCTGGCTGAGCTGCAGTGCTGGAGGCACCATTGGGTAAGTGAGCTGAGTCACAGTGTTATGGACCAAGGGCCTTCCATTTGGCTGAGGTAGGAGCAGCTCTTGCTTCAGCAGTGGCCTCAGAATCAATCCTTCTGGCACTGCAAAGTCCATCAAGGTTAAGCCAATGAGGGACAAGCTGTGGGACAGGCCCCTCAGCTCATTGTATCCTTCTATTTTGTCAACTTCCTTTGCTTGACAAGAGGAAGAAGACTTTCATGGACATCCCCAACCCTAACCTTTTGGTCAACTGCTGGTTCATCAGATAGCCAGCTCTGCGCAAAGAAGAAGAGTAGATGATTGAAACCAGCACATCCTTTCCACCATAATTGCTTGGGTCCCAGGCCACACTGACCTGTTTCTGGCCCCCAAAGGTCTCTTGCATGGATTTCTGGTACAAGGCACACACAATGTAACTCTCATATTTCATCATGGCAGACTGCTCTGGCACAAGTTCCCCATCGGGGAAACCACCCTCGTTCTGTGCACTTTTTCTTTCCTCAATTTGTGGAGCAAAATCATTCTGTTCACAGGATCAAGGGTTTTCCTGATGCTGCCAGACTTGGACCTCATCAATGGAAGTGACTGGATGTTGAGTGTACACAGGTGCCTGGCATAATCAGCCAGCCACACTCCTGTTTGCCAAATGAAGCCCTTCAAGGCCAGTCTCCCAAAGCCTTGCAGCACATTTTGGCCAGACACTTTGAGCAAGGGATGGGCACTGATATAGCAAAGGAAGAAAATGATGTCACCCAAGCTGCTGCACAGGCAGGAGCCCAGCCAATTGGCTTTATGCAGCTTGTGCCATAGTGCAGTGGCAGGCCCATACTTGGACACAACCCCTGCCCACTCATGTGTGATCCCTTGACCACTGAAAGTCAAAAGTGCCTGGTGGATCAAGCCACCCTCATCAGGCACAGACAAGGACATAGCCACAGGGCCTGCTGCTGCAGCAAAAGCCAAGCTGCTGGCAATCAAGCCTTTCAACAAAGCCAAAGCCTTCTTCTTTGACTCCAGTGCTAAAGCCCTGTTCTTCATGCACCACATCAGTGCAATGAGGAAACCCCTGCTTTCCATGGTATGTTCCACCCACCTGCTGTTCTTTTTTCTATCATCTTTTTCAGCTTTTTTCCTGAAATGAAATTCTTGGGCTGGAACTTCACATGCCTCAAATTCACTGGCAAAAGTGTCTTTGTTGTTCAGCAAAAACTTACTGGGTGCCAACTGGATTTTCATGTAGTCATGGGCCCTGCCCCAAAGCCATTCTGGCTCACCCTGGGCATCTTGGTCCCAGTAAGCTCTCTGGTTGAATCCTTCTTGGACAGTGGCAACCTTGTATGGTAAGTGAAACTTTTCTAAGCCTTGGTCAAATTGGGGGCCAACATCCACAAGCTGTTCATCCTCATCCTCTTCATCATCAGCCATTGGAGCACCCCAACATTATGGGGACAAGGCGCTTTGAGTTCATACAGCTCTGGCAAATTGGTAAATGAGTGGAGTGGATGCCATGCAAAGTCAGGGTCAGTTGGTTTCCAAAGCTCCTAGCTAACAAGCAGCTCTGAGACTCTGGAAGGTGTTAGTGCATGCAAGGCGCAGTGATGCCAAAGGTCACAACTCATCATAACCATTGCCAACCATAATATGATACCACCTGCAGCACCACCCCTGGATGGCAACCCCTGGGTGGCAACCACTGGATGGGTACCATGATACTTTTGGTCACATGGCCTATGTGTGCATACACACATGATAAACATGTCCAGGCCATTGTGTTTTCAAGGTTCTTTCATGTGTGCATTATCTATCTTTTGCAACTATTATGTATGTGAGCCCAGGCCTGAGTCTGAAAGGCCAATTGAGGAACTGCCAGTGCACCACTGGCCCCAACCATTGCTGCCAAGGTGCTGCCTTGCCATTCAAGTGCCAAAACTCTGCTCACCAGTTTGTGCCACCACAGGCCCTCAGCAACAGTGAGGGCAAAAGTAATGGCATACAAAGGTGAACAACACAAGGACCTGGTTGTCAGAACCTGTAACCTTGAGGTGCAAGGCTAGTTGCTCAACTATGAGGGCCATTGCAAAATTTGAACCATACTATGCACTGACTAACTATGCAAGCACAGACTGAATCATCATCATCAACAACAACATCATCATCAACATCACCATCAACACCACCAACATCATCACATCATCAACATAATAGCATAATTAGACATGATGCAGCTGCGTGCCAATTTGACATGGTCAGCTGCTAAATCCAAGATACTCTAGTGGTTGAAGCTGTGCCTGGTTTCCCACAAGCCAGCCTTCAAGCATGTGCAGCCTTCACCAGGAGCAGGCCTATGTGCCTTGCACAGCCTTAGTAGGTTCACTTGGTGCCCATACTTGGACTAGCAATGAGGCTTTGCCAAGCCAAGTTATATCTTCAAGCCATGCTCACATGGGTGTATACACAAAAGGGTAATTTTGACATTGCCATTTGTTTCAACCACCAAGCAGCTTCTTGCATCGAAGGCAAGTTGTGCATAGTGGGCAATTCAAAGCCATGGTGCACCCCTCCACATCCCCAGACAGTGGCTTTTTTCGATGTGGGCACCCTGATGGCATAAAGGCTGTCCTCAATAAGGTGGTGGCACCCCTTGCTGCAATAAGAAGCCCTACCCAATCAGTTTTTTACTTCAATAACCCAATGCCATGTCATGGGCTGGCCTGCAAATCTGAATGTGAAACATCCAAGTGCATGAATCAATGAAGCCTAGTTTCACTGGCAGGCAATTGCAGTTAAAGTAACTTGCCTGACCCAAATTATTGGCAGCATCCCTCATCTGTTTCCTCATGTCCAGCAACTCCATCTTGGCAATGGTCCATTCCTGAAGCCAGCTGCCCAACAAAACTGAACAACCAGTCTGCCAGTGTAAACTGCAAACAAATTCCATGGCCACTGCACAAAAAACTCTTTGCCATGCCAATTAATAACACTGCACCCACACCAAGCCAAATGCTAGCTGTGAATCCACTGTCCTGACACCAATCATTTGGCCTGGTTCCCACTCCTGTTCCTTGAGCTTCTTGACAAGTGCTTGGTGCACAATCACTTTGTTGATGGGCTTCCCCTCCAGGTTTTTCACCTAAGAGCCCAGCAGCCCAATGAATGAATTCTTACCATTATATATATAGTTACACCTGGTGCTGAGAACTAGTGTGACTGTTGTGATTGCTACTTTTACTTTGGCATCGTTGGAACCAATCCAAGTAACCCTGGTCAACATTTCCCAGCTGATGCCCATTCCCAACTGATCCTCCTCAATGGTGGTGGTGCCAGCAACAACCTGCCTCATCACCCCCTCCAGGTCCCACTTCTGCTCATTCTGGTCCAGGACATGACCTGAAGCAAGAAGGCATTTGACACCTGGAAACCATGCAAAGTGTTCAAAGACAAACAGCAATACTTAAACAAAAACACAACAGTGAATATGCAATTAGGTGGGCCATCCATGATTTCTGCTAGCACTAGCTGGTACACATAAAGGTGACCTATTAATACCATTCAATACCCCAAGTTGTTTGAGCCATGGCTCAACAAGAGTCATCACTGCAACTGCTCTCATGGCCAGTGGGGCTTGGGCCATTCCTCCTATCAAGGGCTCTCTGGTGGACACTGCCACTGCTGCTCCCAGGCTCATGGGAAGCCTTAGCCTTGGCCTTCACTTTGACCCTGGGCATAGGCATGTATAGCTGCCACTTGCCACTGCCCTTCCCATAGGGATGCCCAGTAGACATACACCTGAGCAGGCTAAATTTGGGCCCAAACACCCAGGGCTAGCACAAGCTAAGGAAAGCTAAGCAAAGCTAAGGAAAGCTAAGAAAAGCTAAGAAAAGCTAAAAAAAAAAAGCTAAATTTGGGGAAAGGCTCTGGATCCACCTCATTTTCAAGTCCTACTAAACAGAACTCTGCCCATTTTTTTTTACAAGGCTAATTTTGGGGCTCACAATTCCAATTACCCATCACCATTTTGTTGGTGTTAGTGGAATTCTTTGCCATTATTTTGTGTAACTGCTGCTGCATTTTGATTCAAATGTGAAACTCAGAAAAGCCCAGCACTCTCAGCACTGCCTATTTTTGATCTTACTTAGCACACCCTATGTTATATATCAACCATACATCCATCATGTTCTTGACTGATACATTTCATTTAAGATCACCAACACCCCCACTGTAACAACCTCTGCAATGCACACAACCTCTGCAATGAATTTGTGATCTTAATTCTACTGATCACCAATCAGCCCACCCCCAAAATGCAAGCAAGGTTCAGCCAGGCGATTCACTGAGGCCACTGAGTCACTGCAGTGATTGTTCCCCCAAAGTTTGTTCAAAGGGTCAAGTTGAGCCAGCCAGCTTTCAAATTAAAACTGGGTGATAAAACCAAAGCCCACAGTCTGAAAGCCAGAGCTTAAATGACTAAGGCTTATACATCCACACTGCCAGACATCAGCTCTCAAATTCACTTCAAACATATTGCATGGCACTTACTCACCATTCAAAATATGCAGCTTTCAAATAGACCCAGCAGCACCTTTTTCTAAGATTCCACCCTAGAAGCCACTGCCAAATGGATTGTGGAAAGGACTGGCTCTACAACTGCCTGAGCAAATGATGAAAGCCCAAATGGCAAAACACACCATGTTTTTTTAAATTCCAACAGTTGCTCAGGCACATTCTTTATTCAATGCCTGCCACTTCTTCCTAGCCACCAAGCAATGATGGGGCCCCAAAAGCTACTAGGCTACCAAGCCATGTGTGAGATGATGATACTATTATTATGCTTGTCTCACTGGGTACACCCTGACATCCCATACTGAAAATGGATGTTCCCCTTGGGTCAGCACATCAAACATCCTTCTTATTTGCCAACCAGAATAAACATAAGTGACAGTAAACACTACCCACTCAATACTATATTTGTTGCAATATTTTGCTTCTCAATGAATATTGTTTGGTGGAAACCACAACCATAAATCATAAGTATGGTGACCCAACTAAGGTAGCATGCCCAAGGGTGATCATCCATTTTACAGTATTGCCTACTTGCAAAAAGATATTCATCCCAACAGCTGGTAGCACTAACTGATTGGCCCAAGCTGGTCACACCCAACTCCACCCTGCCAGTTCAGTCAGCAATGTGGATGGTATCCTTGGCTCCTGGTCTGGCATTGCCCTGGGCTGCAGCCTTAGACAAATTGCAGCCACCCCAGCAAAACAACCTGTGGCACACATGGCTGATTTACAATCTTCAAAGTCTAAGGTAACATGGCCATAGTAGTCATGGTGCACTTGGAACCTTTGGCATCAAGCTAGTGTGCAATTTTCAAGGCCTAAGTTTAAGGTGCCATAATAATAGCCACTGGCATTTTCACATGCAAAAGTATCACAGTTAGAAAGGGAACATAGTGGAAACCCCTTTGCAGCCATAGTGCCAAAGCAGCTTTCCTTCTGGCCAAAGCCTCCTGGACAACTACATCATTGATGATGTTACCTAGGCTCAGGCTGTGCATTGCTGGGAATTGTTCATTGAATTTTTCATGAGCACATATATTATATGTTTCCACCAATACTCACAACCACTTGAACCTAATTTACTTAGCCATGTGTTACATATATCAATACAGGACATGGCATGGCAAACCCTTTTCAACAACTTGGGGTTTGGGGCCCAAATGCTTAGTCCCCCATGTCCTGCCCAATGCAGCACATAATCCAAGTCACCAACTTGCAGCTGCTGTTCTGAGCTGGCTGCCTGTGGTGTTTGCTGCTGTGCTCCAGGCTGTGCTGCCTGTGCCTGCTGGCCTTGCTGTGTGTTTGCTCCAGTGGGTTCAGGCTTTGCTGCCTGTGCCTGCTGGCCTTGCTGTGTGTTTGCTCCAGTGGGTTCAGGCTGTGCTGCCTGTGCCTGCTGGCCTTGCTGTGTGTTTGCTCCAGTGGGTTCAGGCTGTGCTGCCTGTGCCTGCTGGCCTTGCTGTGTGTTTGCTCCAGTGGGTTCAGGCTTTGCTGCCTGTGCCTGCTGGCCTTGCTGTGTGTTTGCTTCAGTGGATTCAGGCTGTGCTGCCTGTGCCTGCTGGCCTTGCTGTGTGCTTGCTCCAGTGGATTCAGGCTGTGCTGCCTGTGCCTGCTTGCCTTGCTGTGTGTTTGCTCCAGTGGATTCAGGCTGTGCTGCCTGTGCCTGCTGGCCTTGCTGTGTGTTTGCTCCAGTGGATTCAGGCTTTGCTGCCTGTGCCTGGTCTTGATGTGTGTTTGCTCCAGTGGATTCAGGCTTTGCTGCCTGTGCCTGGTCTTGATGTGTGTTTGCTGGCTTTGCTGGCTGTGCCTGGTGGCCTTGCTGTGTGTTTGCTTCAGGCTGTTTGTTTGCTTCAGTGGATTCAGGCTTTGCTGCCTGTGCCTGGTGGCTTTGCTGTGTGTTTGCTTCAGGCTGTGTTGCCTGGACCTTCTGCTGGCCTTGCATTTGCTGTGTGTTTGCACCAGGCTGTGCTGCCTGTGCCTGCTGCTGGCCTTGCATGTGTGTGGTTACCTCAGGCTGTGTTGCATGTGCATGCTGCTGGCCTTGCATTTGCAGTGTGTTTGCCCCAGGCTGTGCTGCCTGTGCCTGCTGCTGGCCTTGCATGTGTGTGGTTACCTCAGGCTGTGCTGCCTGTCCCTGCTGCTGGCACTGCATTTGCTGTGTATATGCACCAGGCTGTGGTGCTTGTCCCTGGCTGGTGTTTGTCCCAGGCTGTGCCTGCATCTGCTGGCCTTGCATTTGTGTGTGTGCCCCAGGCTGTGTTGCCTGCACCTGCTGCTGGCCTTGCATTTGTGTGGTTACCCCACACTGTGGTGCCTGGATCTGCTGCTGGCCTTGCATTTGCTGTGTGTTTGCAGCAGGCTGTGGTGCTTGTCCCTCCTGCTGGCCATGCATTTGCTGTGCGTTTGCCCCAGGCTGTGCCTGCATCTGCTGGCCTTGCATTTGTGTGTGTGCCCCAGGCTGTGTTGCCTGGGTCTGCTGCTGGCCTTGCATTGGTGTGGTTACCCCACACTGTGGTGCCTGGATCTGCTGCTGGCCTTGCATTTGCTGTGTGTTTGCAGCAGGCTGTGGTGCTTGTCCCTCCTGCTGGCCCTGCATTTGCTGTGTGTTTGCCCCAGGCTGTGCCTGCATCTGCTGGCCTTGCATTTGTGTGGTTGCCCCAGGCTGTGCCTGCATCTGCTGGCCTTGCATTTGTGTGGTTGCCCCAGGCTGTGGTGCCTGGATCTGCTGCTGGCCTTGCATTTGCATGCCTGCACCAGCTGGTGCTGCCTGCATCATCTGTTGGGGGCCTTGCATGTGTGTGTTTCCCCCAGGCTCTGTTGCCTGTGCCTGCTGTTGGCCTGGCATCATTTGGTATGTGTTTGCCATGCCATGCTGTGTTGCTTGCATCTGCTGCTGGCCTTGCATTTGCTGTGTGCTTGCACCAGCTTGTGGTGCCTGCATCTGCTGGCCTTGCATTTGCTGTGTGCTTGCACCAGGATGTGGTGCTTGCATCTGCTGGCCTTGCATTTGCTGTGTGTTTGCACCAGGCTGGGCCTGCATCTGCTGGCCTTGCATTTGTGTGTGTGCCCCAGGCTGTGTTGCCTGCATCTGCTGCTGGCCTTGCATTTGCTGTGTGTTTGCCCCAGGCTGTGCTGCCTGCATCTGCTGCTGGCCTTGCATTTGCTGTGTGTTTGCCCCAGGCTGTGCTGCCTGCATCTGCAGGCCTTGGATTTGCTGTGTGTTTGCACCCATTTGTGGTGCTTGCATCTGCTGGCCTTGCACTTGTGTGCTTGCCCCTGGCTGTACCTGTTGTGGCAGGTGTGGTGCTTGTTGGTGCCCTTGCTGCTGCCCCAGGCTTTGTGGAAGCTGCTGTGTATGACCTGGCAGTTGCTGGTGCTGCTGCTGCCCATGTTGTGCCTGGCTGGTGTTTGCCATCTGTTGCTGGTGTGCCATCATTGCTGGTGCTTGCTGGTGCTGCAACCCTTGCTGCCCCATACCTGTGCCCTCTGGTGTTTGACATGGCAGTTGCTGGTGCATTGCTGGTGTTGGCTGGCTCTGCTGTGGTGTGCCACACTGCTGTGGCTGCTGGCCTTGCTGGTGCATGTTTGCCATGCCTGCTGGCTGGTGCAGCACCATGCCTTGTGCATGCTGTGGTGTTTGGCATGGTTGTGGCTGACCTGGTACTGGGCACTGTTGGGGTGGGCAAGTTGGTTGGTGCTGCCATGCTTGCTCTGCCACCATACTTTGCTGCTGTTGCTGCATGCCTTTGCATTGCTGTTGCCCAAGCTGCTGTGGCTGCTGGCTTGTGGCTGCAAAGTTGTACCCCCTTGCTGCTCCCCATGCCAACTCTGCCTGGCTCAGTTCTCTTGCTGGTGGCTGCTGTGCTTGCAACTCCTTGTGCCCAAGGAAACCTGGCTGCCTTGGGTTGAGGCTGCATGGCAAAACACCATGACATGGCTTTGCATATGCAAATATGAAATATGGCATCAAACCTACAACCCCTCCCAGCACCCACCAAGCTACTTAGTTACTAACTATCAAAACCAGAAGCCCATTCCATGTGATTGGTGCCAAACTCTTCACCACCTTGCTGCCATTCAACCCAAACACTTCTACAAATGATGGCAATGGGTTTTTTTTGGTTCAAT